TATGGCTGCATAATATTCCATTATGTATATGTACCACATTTTTTTAATCCAGTCCAGCTTTGATGGGCAGCATGGTTGGCTCCATGGTTTTGCTATTGTGAATAGAGCTGCAACAAACATGCTTGTACAGGTATATTTTTTGCAGAATGATTTGAGTTTCTCCGGGTATACTCCCAACAGAGGGGAATTGCTGGGTCACAAGGAAGGTCAATTTCTAGTTCTTTCAGAAATCGCCACACTGTCTTCAAAGAAGTTGCACTGGTTTGCATTCCCATCAGCAGTATCGAAGCGTTCCTTTTTCTCCACATCCTCGCCAGCATCTATTGTTTGTTTTATTAATGATGACCATTCTTACTGGGGTTAGGTGGTATCTCAAAGTAGTTTTGATTTGCATTTCTCTGATGATGAGTGAGGTTGAGCACTTCTTCATGTATCTGTTGGCTGTCTGTATCTCTTCTTTTGAGAAGTGTCTCTCCAGGTCTTTTGCCCACTTTTTAATGGGGCTTTGTTTTTTTCTTTTTGGCGCGTTTGAGTTCCTTGTGGATACTAGATGTTAGGCCTTTGTCAGATATACAGTTGGCAAATAATTTTTCCCATTCAGTGGACTGTCTCCCTGTTCTCTTGATGGTTTCTTTTGCTTTATAGAAGTTTTTCAGTTTGATGAGGTCCCACTTGTCTATCTTATTTCTTATGGTATGAACACTTAGGGTTTTGATCAGGAATTGGTTGCCAGTTCCAATTTTCATAAGGGTGTCTCCTGCATTTTCTTTTCTTTTTTTATTTTTTTGAGTTGGAGTGCAGTGGCCACTCCCAGCCACCGCAGCCTCGACCTGCTGGGCTCCGGCAATCCTTCTGTCTCAGCTTTCCAAGTAGCGCTACCACACCCGGCTAATTTTTTGATTTATTGTAGAGATGAGGTCTCGCCAACTTGTCCAGGCGGGTCTCGAACCCCTGGGCTCAGACAATCCACTCACCTCAGCCTCCCTATATTTTCTAAGATTCTTATTTAGCGAACTGGTTCTTGCTCAGCATTCCATGGGGCCAGGCCTGGTGCCATCTCAGCCAGAAGCTACTGTGGGGTGTCGGGAGGAGTCAGTGGGTCGAGAGGCCCTCAGGAATCTTGCTGATGGCTGAGGCCCCGCACAGCTCTGGGAGGAGACTCAGCTTGTGAACTTCTCCATCAGCCCCAAGCAGCAGGCATTTCTGCATTTCTACAGGCGCGGGCTATTTGAGACAGGTTTTTAAAGGACAGAACAGCAGCATCTGGCCCGGGCTTCCTGCAGGGAGAACATTCCAGCTCTCCTAGGTACACGTCAGTTTCTTAACTGGCAGCCAGAAGTTACCATAACTGCTTTCGAAGGAAGGGCATTGTCCACTCAAAGGCTGCCATCAGAATGGGGTACCCACTCTGAAAAAATCTGAGCCCCTGGCAACCCTGTTTTCATGCCCCTCGAGTTTGAGAAATGTCACCAATCCAGCCAGGATCTTGTGAGGAGTCCAGATGGCCTGGGGAATGGAGGTGGGGGTGGGAGGTAGTGGCTGTCCAGGTGGGTTCTGCCTTGGAGGTAGCCATGGTGCCTGCTGAGGGCCTGGCCAGGAAGAGGTTTTAGTCAGCAGGAGTGGGTTCTGTACTCTGAGACCCAGGTGGGTCACAAGGCATCAGCAAGGGTCCTGATTCTAAAGGAGACCAGATGCCACAGCCCGCTCCGCCCCTCCACGATCACACAACTGGCTGGTGCTTTGTGCAGGCACAGGAAGCTACTTCACCCTCCTGCATCGCCAATTCTCAGAGCACAGATTCTGCCCAATGCCTTCCCCACCGGGTGGTTTCTGCCGGGAATGAGAACAGATACTCTGTGCCCACCCTGGGCTTCTTAAGAGAATCCACACCTCTCACATAGGCGTTCTCTCACAAAGATGTCAGAGTGCCAGACTGTCCAAAAGAGGGGTGGGGCTGGCCGCGGAAGTAGGGGCATACGAAAACACTAGCAGGGCGACTGCTGCTTTCCCGTAACAGTATCACAGCAGAGCGACCTCGCTGTCCCAGTCCCTCTGGGAATCCTCGCCTCACAGCCTCCTCCAGGCCCCCGGGTCCTAGAGAGCCACATTCTGACACAGACTCTCTTCTTGGGTCAGGCTGGAATGCTCTGTAGGACGCGACACATGACCATGGCGCTGTCTAACTCGTGTCCCCGCCTGATGTCCCAGCAGCCCTGCCTCAGTGTTCCTACCACCACTAGTTACCATATTTGCATCTTTGCTTATTTGCCTACTGGGAAATGATGACTCATTGTTGGTTTAGTTTGGGTTTATTGCTAATGAGACTGAAGCCCTTATGTCTCTTTTGTTTTTATGTATTGTTTGGTTTTGTCCTTTGATTATTTGTGTACTTTACGTGTGGAGATCTTACCATTTTTCTTATTAACTTGTATCAACTCTGTACATTACTCCTTATTCACTATAGCTAGTTCAAGTAAGTATCCTAGTTTGCTGGTCTTTTTAGTAATTAATTTACTTAAAATGTACCAAATGTGATTCCTTGACCACTAGTAAACTTTGGAAAGTCATCCCCTCTAGATATTTGATAAATATTCAATCCTGTTTTCTTTTTATTTTCTTTGATTTTGGGAAAATCTTCCCTTCCAGATTTAATAAACATTCGATCCTACTTTCTTTTTGTTTTTCTTTGATTTTTAAAAAATTTAACTCTTCAGAAAATGATGAACTGGCTTATTTTTAAGTACAAAGTTCTGATATCAATGCCTACGATATAAAAACAAACATGAAATTATAGCTCTTTCCTCATGAGTAGATGTTTGCTTCTGAAGTTGTTCTTTAAATTCCCACCAATTAAATTGCGGATGTCGTCGTCAAAGTGCTTGACTCTTGCCCTGCCCTGGTCTCGCCTCCCTGTCCTCTCTGACACCACAGATCCCAGAGCTGAAGGAAGACATCAGCATTCCCGACTACTGCTGCCTGGGCAGCGGGGAGGAGGAGGAGATCACCATCAACGCCTGGTTTGGTCCCCAAGGAACCATCTCCCCGCTTCACCAGGATCCCCAGCAGAACTTCCTAGCCCAGGTTGGCACTGCTGCCAGAACAGGGGTTCCCTCCTCCCGGCCCATTCACCGGCAGCCACAGTGTCTGCCTTCAGCCAGGCTCTCAAAAAGAAACACAGCCACACAGAAAGGGATGGGGACAAAAAGGAAAGCCGAGGACTGCCACCAGGCCAGGGTAGGGCCCCCTCCAGTCGGGGCTGCCTCCAGAAGTGGCTTCTCCCAAGCTGGCAGGAGCAAGCGCCTGGCTTGCAGCCCCGCTGCCCACTGTATCTGTGTCTCCTCGCCTTCCCCCTGCCTGCCACCTATCCCAGCCAGGCCAGCTTCCCCATGAGGAGGGAATGGGGGGAGGGAGCTTTTGCAGCCACTGGATGGGTTTTTCTTGCGACCTGGACAGGGGAGCAGATGTGTTTGCTGCAGAGTGGGGAGGGAGGGATTCTCTCTACTGCTGTGAGACCACCTTGGTTTCACAGACACAGAGGATTAATGCCTGAGAACATTCTAGTCCAGCAGACCAGCCAAAAGAGGTGGTACAGAGAGGCTAAGAGCCGGGTGTTGGCAGCCAGCCTGCCTGCGTGGACACCTGCTCTGTCACCTCTCAGCTTTTTGAGCTTGGCAGTTCACTTAGCTTCTCTGTGCCTCACTCTCCTCACCTGTAAAATAGAGATGAAGGAAACCACCTCAGAGGGTTGTTGTGAAGATTAAATTAGTTAATATACATAAAGCACTTAAACCGTGCTTGGCGCAGTCGAGTGCCCAGTTGTTGGCTACAACAATGAAGTTGTCGATTCTTAATATATCCGGAGGAAAAATATACTCGTGGAACTCTAAGCTCTCGTGTGATGGGGAAGCGCAGACTGGGCACTGGGAACAGCATGTGGAAAGGCAGAGGCCAGGTGGGGTGTGGCAGAGTGAGGTTGCCAGCTGCCTGATGGAGCCTCTCTTCCCAGGTGATGGGGAGGAAGTACATCCGGCTGTACTCACCGCAGGAGTCAGGTGCTGTATATCCTCACGAGACACACCTTCTTCATAACACGAGCCAGGTGGGCACTCGGGACCCCAGTGTGTGACACTGCAGCTTCTCCTTGCTGTCCCTGGAGACAGTGACTTCTTTTCTCTCTTCAGGTGGATGTGGAGAATCCCGACTTAGAGAAGTTCCCCCAGTTTGCCGAGGCCCCATTCCTGTCATGCATCCTGTCCCCCGGTGAGATCCTATTTATTCCGGTCAAGTACTGGCATTATGTGCGGGCTCTGGATTTGAGTTTCTCGGTCAGCTTCTGGTGGTCATAGCCAGGGTCGGGATTGAAGGGCCTGAATGCAAACAGCACTCGGCGTGTACACATGCACTGCTGGGCCCAGTTTGGCTCTGGGTCCTTGGAGTCTGGAGACAAGCGGTACCCGAACCTATGCCCTGGAGAAGCCTGTGTGGCCCAGTTGCAGCTTCTGGCTTTCTGTGAGCTTGTTTTGTTGTGTATACAAAGTTTTGTTTTGTTTATATTTGGCCTTTAAGACTTCCCTGGCCCTCTGCCTGAAGACAGGCTGGCATGTCCCAACAGCGGGCACCAGAGAACACCTCTGCTCCACCGGGTAGGAAGATCACAAGTTGGTGGACAATTCTACAGCACTGGTGACATCACACCAAGTGACCTTGAAATCAAGAGTCATTCATTCCAAAACAAATCTCAAAAGAAGAAATTTAGAAGCTCGTAAACCTAAAAAACATTACAACCTACTCAAAGATACGCAAATTGAAACAAAGGTACCTGCTACATTAGCCAAGGTGTTTCCAACTCTCACCCTCAGTGCTGAGGAGAGTGGGGCTGTCCTCCTGGTGGGGGTCAGCCTGGCAGAAGTTTAGCAAGAACCTTGAGCGTTCGTGCATGCTTCTGGGTCTAGTGATCCCTCTACTAGAAACCCAGCTTCAGCAAATTGCCGCAAGGTGGTTGAGGATGTAGGTATAGGGGTGACCGTCACAGCACTGTGATGGCAGGACACTGGAAATGTCCTAAAGCATGTGGGTAAGAAACAGCCCATCAGTGCTGCGGAATATTATTCAGCCACAGACGCTTAGAATTCTTAAGGTTATGAAGAAATGCTGTGTCGTGTTGATTAAAACACATTATGTTCTTGAGTTTTTAAATACTGGCCTTTTTGTACACACATGTGTACATGTGTGTGTATACATGTTCACATGTGTGTTTATGTGCATGCCCACAGAGAAACTGGGGCTGTATTTAAGCCAATTGTAAGACTCCAGGTGTTTAATATTTCTGTATAATTTCAAGTTTTCTCAACAATGTAAGCAGTAAAAAATAACTTTATTTTTAAAACCATTTGTTCAACCCAATTTCCTTGCTGCCCATTTTGGGGTGAGCAGGACAGGAGGTACCAGGGAGGGGAGATGACTCGAACACAGTAATCCCAGCCCAAGATGTAGGCCCACAAAGGAGGAAGGGTGGCATGGGATATGGTGGGGCACAGAGGCTGGCACTGGGTCTGGAAGGATGCATAGGAAGTGCCAAGGAGATGGGGAGAGGGCTTCAAGGTGGAGGGAACTGCACAGTGAGTGGGCCCGCAGAGCCCAGGTGGGATGAAGGAAATGGCGAGAGGCACTTGAGCTGCAGGAGTCCACAGACCTGCAGGCCCCAGGTGTCAGATGGGCTGGGACTCGCTTGGTTGTGATGGAAACCCAGCACAAGCCCGTTCAAGCACAAACAAAACCCAGAGACAGGAAAGGAGGCAGGTGGGGGTGTGGTCTCCGAGGAGGACCAGGCTTCAGGCCTTCTCCTCACCCCCCCACCCCATCTGCTCTCCCACCGTGGCTGCATCTCAGCGAGTCTCTGCCTGACTTCATTCTTTCCTCCTTTGAAGACAGGCCTGGAGAGAAGACGGCCCGCATGGGTAGCCAGCACCGCTTCCCCAGCAGAAGGGCAGCGGGCTTGGCTCTAGCGTCCAGTGGCCCCACCTGATGATCCCACCTATCCCAGCTGGCAGGCACCATGGCCCGTCTGTGGTGTAGTGTGCCACTTTCATTGAAATGTAGCCTGACTGCCTCAAGCAGCTGTCCCTTATCAGATGGGAGGCACAGAAGAGGACCTCTTCTTGGCTAGAGGGTGGCTTCAGCCTCTGAGAAAAGTGGGTTCTGAAGTCGGCTTGAAATCAAAGTGCCAGAGAGAGCTGGTCACAGAGCCAAGGAGAGGCATGAGCAAAGGACTTCCTGCCCACCCGGGACATGGAGAGGCCCGCTCAGGGCCACAGTCTGATGCCAGACACTGGCCACATGGCAGCGAGCCAGGGAAGGCCCTGCCCTCGTGGTGTGGGGATGTCCAGTAAGGAGACAAGAATAAAGTAAGGTGGGGTTAGATTGTGGTGAGTGCCAGGCGGACCACAGAACAGGGTAACAGAAAGTGGCAGCAAGGGATGGACTGGTGGGGCCATGAGGTTTTGAGAGTCAACATTTGAATAGAAAGTGTGAATGACCAGGCATCCAGGAGTGGCCATGAGATTTGAGGCCAAGCTCCCAACAGCCAGTGCAACAGCCCTGAGGGAACAAAGCCTTAGCCTGCGGAGGAAGAAGGAGCCAGTCAACTGGAGCAGAGGGAGGGGAGAATAGGGAAGGGAGGCGGAGGCCACAAGGCCTAGAGGTACCAGCTGTGGGAAGGCACAAGGGTTGTGGGGGCAGGGAGTGGTCTGATTCTGCTGCTGTGTGGACAAGGGCCTGGAAGGGGGACACTGGGAGCTGAGAGCAGTGAGCTGCACCAGGCCAGTCAATAATCCCTGAGTGACAAGGTCAGGGCACCAGTGGAAGAGCAGGGCAGTGGATGAGAGGGTGGGTGGGATGGGCTGGGCCAGACCACAAAGGCCTTGAATGCCAGGCAAGGAGCTTGCAGGACAGTTTTAGTTGGGAAGTGCCGATGCCTGTTGTGGGATGTTCACACTGGTGTCATGGTGAAGGGGATGGAGGTAAGGGAGACTAGTAGCAGAAGGGCCAATGTCCCCAGCGGAAAGGGGCTCAGAGGCTTCCTGGCTCACCAGTGAGGACTCACCCAAGCTGTATGAACATGTCTCTTATTGATGGTGACTAGGAAAGCAGGGAGATGGCTGTCCCGAATGGCCCTGGTCCTTCCTGACAGTGGTATTTTTTGCCTCTTGGCGTCCGTCTTCCCTTCCTCAGAACAGCACACTGATCGCTGATCGCATTCTGGAAGCCACCTCCCCCCAGGGAGAACCGTCCCACAGGGTCTGTAAATCGCCACTCCCTGCCTGGACCTGCATCTTGAAAGTGTGTCGGAAGGATGGATGCACAGGCCAGGGCCGTCCAGGACCCCTGAGTCCAAGGGTCTTTTCTAGCCTGATTCCGCCTTCCTGTCGTTTCTGCAAGCTACCCTTCCAAGCAGTCCTTTCTGGTTCTGCCAGCTGGGCCTGGCTTCTGCTGACCTCCAGACACGCCTACTGGACTACCCTCCTAGCCTAGTGTCCACTGGGCTTACCAGTGGGCGTGTCTTTGCCCCAATCAGGCTGCCTCAGTGCTGGGGAGGTGGGCGTGAGGGCTTAGGAGCCTGGACTCCAGTCTGGGAGGGTGAGCCTCCTTCAGCAGGTGTCCTCATGCGCCGCACCCCAGATGCTGCTCTGCAGCCGGCTCATGGAGGACAACATGGCAGAGCGTCCCTACTGCATGGGCGGCCCACCTACCGACTTAGTGTCCACGGTTCATTCCCCTGCCTCTAGACCAAGCCTCTCCCAAAGGGACCCTTGACCAAGTCCTGCCTGGTAACAGTGTCTTCAGTTTGCTTCGGGAACCCCCTGCTTACTCAGCACCACCTTGGATGAGTTTGATCTTCCAGTGACACTTGAGTTATCCTTCCCCACTTCTGCCAGCCTCCACATGGGAGCTGTGAGCCAGGAGGAAGCTTGCTGGGGTGAGGGAAGCCGCTCAGTGAGACTCGCCCTCCTCAGCACTGGGGCCTGAGTGTACAAGGCCTGGAAGCACAGCAGCCATTTGCTACCATGAAGAACATGGCTGCATTTCCCAGAGGCCAGCTCAACGAAAGCAGAGACAGAAGTGCAGATGACATCACTGGACCACTAGACCAAGCCTCTCCCGAAGGGACCCTTGACCAAGTCCTCCCTTATTTGAGTCTGTTCGATTTTTCTGTCCCAGATAAAGGGGGTGGAAGAGAGGCAGGGAGTCAGGGAATTACAATGGTGCGGTAGCTAGTGTGAAGCCCAGGAAAGTGCAGGGAGCAGGATAAGAGCTGTAGCAGTGAGAGGCTGACCAAGCCTAAGGACGGACAGGGGCTAGCCAGGAGCCACAGGCCCCAGAGGGAAGAGTGACCTGCGGAGGGAGCACCTTGCACAGGCCCCAGGGGAGAAGCCGGGTGGAGGAAGCAAGCAAGCACCCTGAACAGCAGAGGGCAGGAAGTGGCAGAGACAGCAGGGGCCTTGCCTGGGGCCTTACCTGAATGGAGCAGTTGGAGCCATCAGAGGGTCTTCTGCAGGAGCACAGGGCCAGGGTGTGGGTGCAGGGCTGGGACCTGGCCTGGGACCTGTTTGGTAGGTATGCTGACAGGATCTGGTGATGCCAGGATGCAGGAGGCCCAGTAGGAGGAGGATCTAGGCCGAAGCGCCTGGATGGGTGGGGCTGCTGATCACTAGAGGGGCCAGGGGCCTAGTGAGGGACAGCACGCATCCCGCCAGACTCCTGGCCTCATGCCCATTCAGGCCAGTGGACCCCTTTAGTCTGGACCCTGGGCTAGGGAGAGTCCAGATTGGGGAGTTGGGGAGACCAAGGCTCGCAGTCCAGGAGTGGCAGGCCCCTGAGCGGAGAGCGACCGGAAGAGGGAGCACTGTACACAGGCCCCAGTGGCTGCCAAGTCCCAGAGGAACAACTGACTTAAGGGGGACTGATGGCAAAGCCCCCCTGGGTGAGGACAGTGGGCTGCCCCAGGTCAGTGCAGGAGCTCTGCTGGCTTCACCAGCTGAACCCCAACCAAGGGTGTCTGAGTTATCCCTTCAACTCCAGGAAGGAAAGGCCACGACACAAGCCTTCATACACAGAGGCACAAGACCACACACACAGGTGGCAGTGACTCCTTAGGATCGATTTATTCCAAAGATATTAACCATGAACGTAAAGAAAAGGGAGGTGGTTCGTGGAACAGGAAACACTGATGCCTCTCTTTCAGACAGGGCTGCAGCGGGCAGGCCTCCAGGCAATGAGCCCTCAGCGGGCACAACTAACGCTGCCTGGACCGCAAGGACTTTTTTGTTTGACTTGGAGATGCCAGTTTCCCTTTCCTTCTCAGGGTCGAAGACTTCTGCATACAGAAAAGGTCAGGAAGACACAGTGAATGGAGGGGCTGGTGGCATAGTGACGCCAGCTTGGGCCAACAGCTATGCGTCCTATGCCAAGGACTCTGTGTTCTCTATACCATTTCTCATGGCTAACCCTCCTTCTCAGCCTGCAAGGGAGGTAGAACTAGCTCCCATTCATAGAGGAACAGCAGACGCTGCTGTCACATACCCCTCCTGAGATGGCTGCCAGAGAGCCCTGTCTAAACCATGTGCGCTGGAATTTCAACCGGGTTCTAGTGAGTCCTTTGAAACTATGTGAGCAGGCCAGCCTTCACTTCCTGCAGCAGCTGCTCATGGGATTCGAGGGAACTTAAGAGCCCCGTCTCCAAGGGCTCCCCAGAGCCAAGCACTGAGTTCTGCTGCCCCAGCCCCTCCTGTGAGCACCTCAGGGAGCACTCACCTGGCACCTGGTGGGGCCAGTAGTCATTACAGTGGGGGCAGCGTGGTTCAGAATTTGACTGGAAATACTTGGCCACGCAGGGTAGGTGCATCCGGATCCCACAGGTTTCACAGCTTTGACCCTGAGACAAAGAAGGCTGATGACCTGGAGCTCGTGCACACCCCGTGTTTCACAAACCTCCAGAGAGGCTGCAAGGGACATGGCCAGCAGGTCTCCAGGTCCGACTTTACTACTAATGAAGCTCCCAAGTCCTCAGTGCAGCAGGGTTATTACAAACAAACACAGCAGAAGAAGCCACAGGCTCTCAAGGCCAGACCCTGCAGGTCTCAGGCTCCTGCACGCAGACCCTGCAGGTGGAGTGTAGACAGCCATAGCTTTTCAGAAGACAGTGTGGCCATGTGGATCAAAAGCTTTTTTAAAAATGCACATTTTGTCCTAAATATTCCACTTCTAGGAACTGGACCCCAGGAAATAACCATCAAGTGCCAGGACACATGTGAAGAGGCCCACACAGCAACTGCAACCATAAACAGATACAACTGCGAAACGGTAAGGGCTAGAAAGGAAATACAAATGTCTAGCACTGGTTCAATAGCTGTGAGGCCCCATCAGGGTCAGACGGATGACAGGAAAATAGCAATCGACACAGAAACACATTCACCACGAGACTGCCGAGTTAACTCAGGTTACACAAGACTCAGGAAAGCCTTCTGAAGAAAACAGAGCAAGTGAGAGTCCTTGGACCAGGACAGCAGGACAGGGAAGAAGAAAGACAGCACATCAATATGGGCAGTGGGAGCAGCATCTGACATGTCTGGGGAGATGGTCTCCGTCAGCTCCCATCAGGACACCCCAGCAATGCCAGAGGGCTGGGGAGTGAGAGTGAGAGTTCTGGAAAGTACCTGTGCAGAGCCTGGGGCCCCCATGGTACCTGGATGAGGAGGCTGTGGCAGATGTTGCAGATCTTCACAGCATCAGGGTACGTCTCCCGGATGTAGTGCTCCATTTCCAGGATGGCCCGGCCATGCAGGGTAAACTCTCCTTCCTTCTGCAGGGACACACAGGTGGCAGCCACCCTCAGCCAGGCCCTCACCCCACTCGGTATCTTTGCTCCCTCTGCCATCCCACAGCCAGAGTCCAGGAAGACGCACAGGTCTGGGTGTGCCTTACCACAGCAGGTTTTCACCAACCCCGGCCAAGCACTGAGTTCAGCCAGGACCCCTCAGCAGAGCCTTGGAAAACCAGGCAAAAACCTAAAAGGCAATGGAGGAGGCTCCCCCACTGCTGCCTTTCTCAGCACCCTGTTCGTGCCTTAAGACGTGACACTCTGACTGTACTGCAGCCCAGGTGGCACAGCCACAACCCTCCTGCAGGTGAGGACACGGAGACCCACAGAAAGGCAGTCTCCCCATAGTGGGGACTCACTGCCTCCATTCCTTTCCCTTAGCCGCCCCACCTCACTCCCTAAAAGCACATCTCCAGGGCCTCCCAGCACAGACGCCTGGAACCTCCTCAGGGACTATCCGAGAGCACGTCATTTTACAGAGAGGGCAGGTGCAGGCTCCAACTCACACTGTGGGCAGCAGAGCCTCCAATGGAGACTGGGCCTCCTGGTTCCCCCTTCTAGGCACAGACCACGTCACACAGTATGAAAACTAAGAGAGCCAGGAAGCACCCAAACAACACAGCTGCCCTGGCTCGCCCCATGGCCAAGTCACAGGAAAGAGGCAGGTCTGAGGGAGACCCAACAGAGACAAATGTCACAGAAGCCCACACAGGTCAAGTCCATGTTGCATCATGGTCAGCTAATGGACTGGGAAGTGAACTTGTCACCATTCCTGTTACCATCTGACCCTCCTCCCTGGTGGGGAGCAGGGTGGTGCCAGCATGGGGGATGGGGGCCTGGGTGAAGACACACTAAAGCCTACTGGGGTCAGACTGGGCAGGATATGGCTCAGGCCTTGCCAGAAGATGGCACCACTGAGGCCTGCCAAGTTTCCCCAGAGCCCTCACCTCCTTCTCTGCTACCTTCAAATTCTCACAAGCAAGAGCTGCCACTCCCATCTCCAACAGCTGGACAACCCCTGCTCCTGCCTCCATTCCCAGGGATGGGGTGTTGGTGCAACCTGGCTTGGAGGGACCAGGTGACCCTCCAGAGGGAGATACAAGGCAAATAGTATGGAGCAGGGCCCTGGAGAGGGCGGGTGAATGGGTTTCAGAAGTGGAGAGAGGTTGGCGCACAATGAACTTGTGTCTTGCACCATGGCTGCCACCGATGGGGTCCTGTGGCTGTGGCTTTCTCAACAGTGCCCAGATCTCCCATGCACTCCAACTCCACAGCCACCTCTTGGTCCCACCACAGCCACCTCCCTGTCCACGGCCTCCTCCTGCTCTCTCTGAGCCCACTCTCCACAGCAACACGCTCTCTGCAACACAAGCCCGGCCCCGGCCCTCTCTACCTAGGTCATCCAGGCTTCCCAGCACTTGAGGGCTGCAGAGCCAAGTCCCGAACATGCCCATCCCCCAGGCTCCCCTTGTCCATTCGCCTCACAGTCCTGTGCTTGGACCACCCTGGCCCTAGCCTCTTGAGCACATTGTGCCCCTCTGGCCACTGGCTTTTGCACAGTCTGAGAATCCCCCACCTCCAACTCCAAGTGACTGCTACACAGCCTTCAGCTCAAGTGTCATTTCCTCTGCTGAAGGCCAGTTCCTTTGTGAAAGCTATCATAAAACCATGCTTCCTTTCCACCTGCAACTCCACTTCACTGAGATGATTGTTTGACTGATCTTAAGCTCCCCTGCCAGACCGTGAGCCCCACAAGAGCAGGGACCAGGTCTGATTTTGCTTACTCTTATGTCCCCAGCACCTGGTGTGGGGCCCAGCCCTTGGTGTTCCCATGATAAATAACTGAGGGAAGGCTGAGTAGACTGTGCACTGATCTCCAAGGAGGATACCTAATGTTCTGGTGAACAAGTTCAAATTCAGATTCAGACTCAAATGTGTGAGCTGCACTTACTGTGTGCCTGAAACTGTGCCCAAGGCTTATCATTCACGGCCTCACTCAGTCCTGTCAGCCCACCAGGGCGGGGCAAGCCAAGCCGCAAGACACCTCGAGGCAGGGACTTTGCGCAGGGAGCAGACCGTAGGATGTACGGAGATGCAGCCAGTCAGCAGATACCCGAGCACCAACAAGCCACACTTGCTCTCAGCGGCCTCACCGGCTGGACCCAACCACCTACCACCCCAGGGCCTTCTCATGGACTGGAACCTCCAGGCCAGGCCAGAGTTTTGCACAGGACAGGGCTCTTCAGGTGAGAAGTCTCCCTGGGGTGATATGTCAACCCGGAATGACCTAAGTCAGTGGAAAAGTCTGCAGAAAGCTGAGGCTAAGACTTAGAAACATGGTTCCTCTGACCGAGGTGCTGCCTCTGAAAGGCTTATTGGGGGTCAGCCAGAACCCCACCCCCATCCTCGGCAGCTCCTCCAAAGTACTGCAGATCTCACGGCCACCCTCACCAGGCTGTCCAGGGCAGAAAGCACTTAACTCTCAGGAAAAACACTGGGAGCATCAATATCCACATCCTTTGGGGAAGGAAACAGTCTCAGAGACAAAAAGCTGCTAGCCAGAGGTGGTAGAGGACCTGGAGGTATGGCTTACCACTACACCCCCACGGGGTGCCAGAAAGGCAACAAGAACAGTCCTGCAGAAGCTGTTGGCACCAGGACTGAGGGGCCAGCATACTGCTTCCACAGCACTCCCTCCCACGCCGCTCCCAGATCCTCCACTCCCTCCTTCTCTCTGCAGCTCTTTCTGGGGAAGGCAGTACCAGCACCTGTGGACAGCACAGGTACACAGGTTTACAGGCCTGGCTCCAAAGCTCAGTCCAACAGGCTCCAGAAGTGAGGTCTTCCCTCTCTGCCACTAGCCTCTCCATGCAGCAAAGGGTGGGCAAAGGGAAAACCCGATGCTAAAGTCAGCACCGCCCTGAGAGATGTACCACAAGGATTTCGGGGAATGCTAGCTCTGCATGTTCACTCCGTGTGAGGCAGGAGGCAGAGGCTGTGAACGGGGATAGCAGAGTGCTTAGCTCTAGCACCTGAGCTAATGGTAGCTTCTACGGATGCATTAGATGTCTTCTAATCTTCCTATAATGAGGAAGTTTGTCTTGTATCATTTTTGTAAGTTTTAAACTCCATTCCTCTGGAACTTCATCCACCTGCCTAGTCATCCATTCAGCAAGCGTTTACTGAGTACCTAAGGTGCCAGGCTCTATATTCTGCACTAGGAGCCCAGCCCAAAGAGAGACTGCACCACAGGAAAGAATGGTCAGTTATAACCTGAGCTGCCCGACAATGTTCCATATTGCCAAATATAGCCCAGAAAGAAAGAAAACTGAGAAAAAGCCACTGTCACATTGTTCAGAGGCCTGACCTCAGCTCTGCCACTCTCAGGGTACTGGGCATCACCCAGACCACTGAGCCACAGTCTGTCTGCTAAAAACTGAGCTCACAGACCTGTCATAGGGCAGTGGATGGACTCAGGACATAACACATATAAATGTGTCTCGCAGATCTGGGCACTCACAGGAGCCCCTAGTCCCACCCTCACCCCATGGCCTCTCCAGCCTTTTCCTCCCACCAGGCACCCCAGGAACTAAATTTGGGTGAGGGTGCCAGGATAGGCCCACCCTACATAGAAATCAGTAACTCACAACACAAACTACCACAACCCAGAAGCAAGCTTTCCCTGAAAAGGAAGTGAAAAATCGCTGCAGCCACAAGCAGCAGCCTCCGGCCATGAGTCTGACCACCAAGCGAGGAAGTGTGGGAGCACATCCTGAACGACACGGGCATGGGTACTTGTGGAGCACAGCTGTGGTACACTGGACAAATACTGACAGCCAGGGCTTCTTGCAAACAGTAATGACTTTTGTGGAAAAAGAACTGAAACATTTGCTCTGCTCCAAATAGCAGGGCTTAGACATGGGGGTAGCGTCTGGGAGGTGGGCAGCACCCAGAAACCGGATCTGCAGGCTGGTCCTTCCCAGTTTTCCACTGCTCCTCTCCTAAAGTGTGCTGTGCTTTCTCTCTGCTCCTCGGGGTCACTGTCTAGGTGGAAGAGCCAGGAGTACTGGCCCTGAGTGACATAACACCACAGTGACAACGATGGCAGCAACAGCAGTTCCTGTACCACCTCCTCCATGCTAGGCGGCCCAGCATAAGCACTTTACTGCACTGTCTCCCTCCTGCTCCTCACACATCCTTGAGGAGGAATCTAGTGCTCCCTTTTACAGATGTAGGTCAGATGCTGAACTATGTCCTCGCCCACGGAACCACCTTGCTCACAGTCTGTAGCCATAGGCTCAATCCTGAAATCCAAGTCCTTGGGTGCAGTCCCTGGCTCTGCCACTTCTGGCTGAGGCACACTGGACAGACAGTGTGAGTGAGTGGGGTGGGGTCCAAATCTTCCCCACCAGGTAACTGTGATAATGTGTTAAAAGTAGATAAGGGACCCATGAGAGCCGGGTTCAACAGACATCAGTGAGGTACAAATATGGTTTTGGAGGAAAAATTGTTATTCACTCAGAAAAGTGAGCCAGGCTGGGGAAGCAAGCCATGAGACAAAGTACCTCAATCAGCCACTTGTTTTGCACAAACTTCTGCAGCACTTGCTCAGCATCCTTCTTCCTCATCTTCTTGCCCTTAAGTTGATCAACCAGATTCAAAATGTTTGTGGATGACGCAAAGCCAGTGTCTGAGTCAATAATCAGTTCCAGCTGGAAGAAAGAGTAGGTATCATGTTCGTCTATTAAATCAGCAAAAACAACTTCTAGGTGATAATATAACTCTGGCAGGGAGGCAGTAAACCACTCGGATCACAGGCAGAACTGCACATGGGCATGACACTTCATGAAAACCACCTGAGAACATGCATCAAGAGCCAGAACATCATCCCCAAAAAACCACTTTAATGTTCAAAATCAAGAAGGGTCACCTTGCCTCTCTTGCCCCTGCTCCCACTCCCTGAAGGTAGAAAAGCTGAGAAATGAATGACTAAATAAATGAGGTGGCAACTCTCTACTCAGGAAGGAGGTAGGTGGGACATTACAGCTGGCCTCAGTGGCAGGCTAGAGCCAGGAAAGGTGGGGGCAGAGGTAGTGAGAGAATGGAAGTGACAGAAGCAACGTCGACTGAGGGCCAGGGCAGGAACCCCTGGGGAAGACAGCTTCCTGCACACACATGGACATGGGCCACTCGTCTCAGCACTTGCTTCCCAACCTTGGCTGCTCACAGAAGATTCAGAAGGAAAAATGTTAGCACTTGGTCCTCAGAGATTTGGATTCGACAGATCTGGAATGAGGCCACAATATCTGAATTACTTTTTTGCCTCTGCAGCTATTATCATTGCATCTAGGTTTGAGACCCACTCTTAGCCAGGTGCTCAGCCAGGTGGGCGACAAGAGGTCTAAGTTGAATAGCTTCGCAGCCTAGTAGAGCCGGGCGCTCAAATGTGCACGTGCACATGATCCAGTGGACATCTGGTAAAAATGCAGATTCAGATTCAACAGTCTGGGGTGGAGATTGGGATCACCTTTGTAACAAGCTCCCAGGCTGTGACGTGCTGCCACTTCCGGAAAGCACTTTGAGCAGCTAGGCAGGAACACCTGTTACTACCTGTGAGGGCCTGCTCTTGCACATTCCATCGGGGCTCACAGCCAGCCCAGCCCTTCCTTCCCAGGCAGCCATGGTGGCCTCCCCAGCAATCACCCAGCGGCTGTGAATTCCAGATGAGGACATCTCCTGGCAAAGGCCTTTCTCAGACAGCAGTGGTGACCCGTATCCCCCAGTGACCCTCAAAGATTGCAGTTGCCACTTCTAATGATGGAGACAGAACTTTTGCCTAAGAAACCCCACCACTGGGCAATGGAAGTTACTATACTTACAGCCTTTCTGAACAGATCCAGTTCATTCTCTGCAAAATCCGTGGCCATTTTGGAAACTGAAGTTGTAGCAAGATTCACCTAGGAAACAAGTCGGCTGATGTGGTCAGGTTAATGTGCAGTTGGTTCCCTGTCCCTCCCTTCCATCTCTCTTGCTAGGCATGGGGTTCCTGTATCCATGCACTGAGGGCACAGGGATGAACTTGTAACAGGTCTTATATTACAGACTTTAATCTTTAGCTCAGTCACATGCCTGATGATCGGAGATTTTAGAACTCAAAGGTTATACAATATTTTCCAAATTCAGATAAATTTGGGAAACTTGTCTGCATGTTAATAAAGCTTCAAATGCAAAAGGCACTGAGAAGTCTGTACTAAAGAAATCTGGCCGGGCTCGGTGGCTCAGCCTGTAATCCCACGCCTTTGGGAGGCTGAGGTGGGTGGACTGCCTGAGCTTGCGGGTTCGAGACCCACCTGGGCAACTTGGTGAGACCTCATCTCTACAATAATAAATCAAAAATTAGCCAGGCGTGGTAGCGCATGCCTGTAGTTCCAGCTACTTGGAAGGCTGAGGCGGAAGGATCACCAGAGCCCAGCAGGTTGAGGCTGCGGTGGCTGGGAGCGGCCACTGCACTCCAGTCTGGGCGACAGAGTGAGACTCCAACTCAAAAAAAAAAAAAGAAAAGGAAATCTGACCAGGCTCGGTGGCTCAGCCTGTAATCCCAGCACTTTGGGAGGCCGAGGCGAATGGATTGCCTGAGCCTGCGGGTTTGAGACTAGCTCGGGCAACTTGGAGAGACCTCATCTCTATAATAAAATAAAAAATAGCCGGGCGTAGTAGCGCACGTCTGTAGTTCCCGCTACTTAGAAGGCTGAGGCGGAAAGATTGCTGGAGCCCAGAAAGTCAACGCTGGGGTGGCTGTGAGCGTGCATGCCACTGCACCCCAGCCTGGGTGAAGGAGTGAGACTCCAACTCAGAAAAAAAAAAATCTGCTTTACTTGGCTTTACTCAGCATTTCCATAGTTATTTGGCTGTCTAACGCTTTTTTTATGATCTAGGATTTGGGAAACCCTGGACTAGAGTGCTCCTCTATGAGTGTGGGCCTGGATGGGGCTGCCAGCTTCCCCCTCCTCATTTCACCCTGTTCCCTAGCTGCAAGGATAAATCTGAAAACAACAGAAGGCCCCAATGGTCTCAATCCTTAACACTCATGCACACATTTTCTTTTCATAGCTTCTATGTCTTAGTTTAAGTAAAAAACCCATTTTCTTCTTTTCTTCCTAATATTCCATACATTTGGGGTGACTTCTTTGCAAAGAACTGTCAAAAAGCAAAAAGTAAACCCAAGCAAGCACAGACAGAGCCTCCATATGGGCAGTGGCAAAAGCACTGAGGCTCCGGACTCTAGTTCTGCTTACCCTGACCCTGATGACCCCAAGGACACCACAGGCCTCAGAGGCTTGCTGTGAGCCCAGAAATGCAGGTTGGGTCAAGGGGCCAGCCCTCCTCAGTTCTTTCTGCGCTTCAGTCCTTTCTGTGCCCCCATGGAAGCAGAGAGCACTCCCACTCTTTCTTTACACACGGGGGCATATGTCCGGCGTAGGCTCTGCTCTTATTTCCCACAAATGCCACCAGAGGCTCTGCCTGGCACTCACCAACGCATAAATGGGCCTCCCATCATCTTCTGTGACTCCTTTCTTTATCTCAATGTACAGGGACTCCAAGACACTGTTAATGTTGTTGATGAAATCTTCTAACTTCTCCATAGTAGCATTGCCTGGAAATAAACAAGCAAAAAAACGGGGGCTCATCAAAAAGGTGCTACTTGTTGTGATCACTCCAGGCCCTGGACACAAGGGACAGCACCTCCAGGAACGGGTTCCAGACTGCAGCCCTCTTGGGCGAATGCCAGCACCATGTGGCTCCCTTCTCCCTGCATCTGTATTTGAAGACAAGCAGATAACAGGCAGAGGGTGTTATGAGATAGAAAGGTCTGGGAGATGGCATCTGAGACCACTGAGGCTCCTGTGGTCTTCCCGTCTTTGTTTGTGGCCCCCAGCATGCTCCCAGCCACTAGTCCCCAGTTAGCACCCTCCATGCCTTACTCAATGTGCTCAGAACCTGCGGTGAGCTCTCCTGCATGCAACATTACATCCCAGCTCCTCCACCTGGTCCCAGGCCCCACATGTCAAGTGTATCTTTATTCTCTTCTCCCTTTATCTAACATCCGCTTGTCCAACACCTATATGCTAGGCTCTGGGCTGGGTCCTGGGGATGAAGGTGAACAACCAGGGTGGCTCATACTGAGCCCTCGCCATGGGAGAGGTCCATCCTGAGTGCCTTTCATGCAGTAATTACTTCATCCTCCCAACAAACTCAAATTATAGGTGAAGAGGTGCAGAAAGGCGAGCTGATGCCGAGTCACACACCAGGCCCAGGCAGGGCCAGCGGTGAGCCCAGTCAGCCTGGCTCTGACCTCCTGCCAGCCCACCTCACACTGCCCCTGCCAGCAAGAGGCTCACAGCCAGAAGCCAATCTGAGGAGGAGGTGCCAGAGTCCAGTACTGCAGGGGGCTTGGGTGAATGGACGCTAATTAGCCAGGAATGGAAGGAGGGCAAGGAGGGCAGAGGAGGCCACAGTGGGAGATGGGAGCCAGATCACACCGAGCCTGTGGCCAGGGGGCAGTGTGGCCTTTCTCCTGTGTGGAGAGCCACTCAACACTGGAAGCAGAGGGACAAGGTCAGCTTTGTGTCCCTTTTGGACTGTGTAATTCCTTAGACCAAGCGTATATATTACTGGTTTTACTATTTTTAAGTACTAAAATAATTAATTTCAAAAGTTTCAGATCTTAGAAAATCACTCTGGGAAAAAAAAACTGCAGAAAAAAACCAGACAATACCATTTACATGTAAAACAATAATAGAACCAACAAAACAATCCTGCAAGAAAAAGGCCCAGCAGGTTATCCACTAAGCTGATGAACAAGGCCATTGCTAGAAAGAGAACTAAGATGAGGGGATCACTGCAGGGCACTTGTGCTGTTTCTGTGTTTGGCTTCTTATAGAGAGAAGGCATTTCGAAGATACTTGTTTAGCTAAAGATTAAGAAAGTTTAAAAAAAAACCAAAAGATGGCACTGGTGACAGAGGAGGCTGCGTAAAGGAGATAAAGTCAGCCCTGGCTCATAAGCTCCATCAGAAGAGCTCATGACAAAGCCCACGACTGTCACACACTATCACGCACTTCACAGCAGGGATCTGATCTTCCACTGTAAGTACAGTTTTAGAAGCAATTTAAGTAAACAAATGAGTAATAAGTTGGTAGAAAATGAACGTGGCAAAATTGTAAAGTACGACAATGACATTTGGCCTGGGCTGCTGGAACGCTGTGATCAGGAGGGAGGCATGATTGTATTTCCTGCCCGTACGTCCTTCCTTTCTGAAATGCCCTTCCTCTGTTACTACAGCCAACTCAGATGACCCTTTTTTTCCATGAAACATTCTCTTCTGCCGCCAGTGCACAGTGCTCACTGCTTTCTTCCTCTTCCACACAGGTCTGTGAGCCTGACTATTCCATACGAGCCTTTGCCCTCGACTTTGCCAGAAACACTTTCCACCCCACAGAGTACCAACACTGGGAAACCTAGGTGCAAGGTAACCAGTCATCAAGACCATCTCTCAGTGCCTGAATGAGTGACAGGATCCCTCATGGGTAGGAGCCACCCTGTCCACCCAATGTGACACAGTGGCAAGTCCCACCTCCCTCTGAAAGTAACAATTCACATTTTCCACTGAAGAGGCCCCTCCTGGGTGTCATTCAGAGCAATGTGCTCTGTGGGCAGATCAAAAGCCTCCTAATACACTGGACTTTCCAAAATGCCCTGACTTCACAGAGACGACTTAACAGCCCTCTCTGCCCTTTCCCCTCTCTCCACCACCTCTGGTTTGCTGTCCAGCCTCATTTTTCAGAAATATGAATGTTTTAAGAGAGAGAAAAGCCAACCACTTCCTCCTGCTGCACTCACTCACTGCAGACCCAGCATCTGCTCCATTGCTCACGCACTCTCCATTCTTACCCTCTCCTTCCACATACATTTCCTGCGTCAGGACCACATCCATCTTCTCAACCACTAACCTGTAAATGTTTCTCACGGATGCCCCTGTGCCACAGGTGCTCTTTCCTAAGCATTACCTGAGAATAAACTTCTCTTATACTCAGGAACCCCCTGACTGCCTCAGCTGACTCCTATGGCAGCAGCAGAGGCAGGATGGTGCCATAGGGCCAGCACCACAGGCCTGGGCCCTGGCCCAGTCCTGCCCTCCCTCTCTGGGGGCCCTGAGCGTCTCCTCATTTCTCTCATCTCTGAAGGCCACACATCATCTTACCCCCAACCTCACATGTCTAGAATACCTTTCCCTTTTGCCCTCTCTCTACCACTGCCCCTGCCTCTACCTTCCCAGCCTCTTGATCCTCCAGTGTCCCCCTGACCAGGTGTTCCTTGACCAGACTAGCTGGTCCCAGCCCTGTCCTCCCACAGTTCCCTTCAAGCACTTCCTCAATACACACCACTCCAGTTACCAAGTCTGGCCCCCACTAGAGTCAGATGGTGATGTCTGCCCACCTAGTAACCATTTCCCTCACTAACGAGATCCTAGGCTTTTTTCTTTTCTTGTTTTTGTTTTTTGATAGGAGTCTCACTCTGTCACCCAGGCAGGAGTGCAGTGGCAATGCTCACAGCTACTACAGCTCCCACATGCTGGGCTCAGGTGATCCTTCCACCTCAGCCTTCCAAGTAGCTGGAACTACAGGCTCATGTCACCAAGTCCAGCTAATTTTTGATTTAGTGTAGAAAGAAGGTATTGCCAAGTTGCCCAGGCTGGTTTTGAACCCCTGGGCTCAGGCAACCCTCTTGTCTCGGCCTCCCAAAGTGCTGGGATTACAGGCATGAGCACCTGGTCTCTTCTTTTTAAAATTGCCTTTCTCCTACATTTGCAGTTTTGGTGGAAGACTAATTAATCCCAGATACCCATATTCAGAGAACCAGAAAGGAGCTCAGGACAACCAGGAGTGGAAACAGAACTCGTATCAGCCAATCATATGTTCTCTCAATCGGAGCAAGGGGCAAATGGCTGACTGGAGGCAGGTTAAGCCCAGTAGCTACCAGAGGGAAGGTTCCTTTGGCCACATGGTGTTCTCTGCTTCTTGCCCATCCCCCAGCCTGGCCCCTAGCCACCAATCAGCCCTGTGGGTCCCTTTCCCAAGAGCATTCCAACACATTCCTTTCTAACATGGTCAGAATTGGGGTCTCTTGCTTGCTACCAAAATCCCTAGCATGCCCACAAAGTGTAAAAGTCTCACCAGATCAGTGTTTCCCAACCTCATGTCTTTAGAACAGTTAATGTTCACTGCTAGGCCTCTAAGCCCTCCCCTGATCCTGGAGCCAATGGTGGAGAGGCTATGGTTTGCTGATCTGTAGGGAAAAACTGGGCTAAAGGCATGTCTGAGGATGCTTTTGGCCCCATTATTCTGAGTCCTTGGTCATGGTAGAGTGCATGAGATAAAACCAGATCTTGAGATTCTGAGACACTATTGCCAGTCTTACAAATACCACTTTGAGGGATTTAAGAGAGTTAATTAATAACAATGCTCCTTTCTTAGACTTCAAAACCAAGTCAAAAAAAAGGCACAGGCTTCGGTAAGAATCAAAGTATTGGGCTTCTTGCCTAGAAAGCTGGATCACAGGCTGGTTCTATGGACACTACCAACTTGTAATTGGCAATATGGAAAGACCAGCCATGAGGGACAGAAACAAGGCCCTGTCCCAACAAGCTGCCTCTTCTAGAGAGGAAGAGAAGCACTAACCAGGACAACCAGTACCATGTTTGAACCACGCAAGGTTGAACCTCTGTATCTTAGGTGCCACCTGTACTTTCTCCACTTATAGAGAGGAGGGTGTGTGCATTTCTTAGGGGCTGTGGTCAAGTAGCTGTCGTTAAGCTGAAAACAAGAGGTCAGCAAATGTGCTACTGTAATTCATCTTATTATGTGCTAGCACTATTCATTAGTTTGATTCATTTCATCATTACAGGAACAGGAACTCTATGAAATGAGTTATCAATATCATCTTTATAGACATGAGGCTAGGAGAGGTTGAAGAACTCACTCTGAGTTTCCTTTACTTGGAAACGGAGCCCAAGCTTGCCTGACTTCAATACCTGAGCTCCTGGCCACTAAGCCACAAACCTGAGGACACTCCCTACACCAGACCATGCCATCATCTCACCTACACCCTCCTGCACCTGGCCCTGTGGTTCAGAATCACCGAGAGACTTAGCAAGCTAGGAAAGATGGGAAGCATCTGGGCAGCAACTGAAAGAGACACCAGGATGGTGCTCAAAGGGGAGCTTCACCCACAGAGGAGACACATGGGGGACCAGGTCCAGCTGGCATCTACCATGCTCTCAGGCAAGAGCACCAGGCCAAGTCCCCGTGGGATCAGCACACACACCACAGGAGGACCTGAGGAAAGGCAAAACCCCTGAAGAAGACAGAGTCACTCTTTCTTTAGCAAAAAATGCCTATCAGTAGAGGTAATTAAGAAATGGGACTCCAGCAGTGATGGGCTGAGGTAGCACGGAACAAAACAGGACACTGCTTCTCGTAGGAGGACAGGTTGGTTCAAGTTGGTGTGACAGGCTGTTTTTCCTGGCTAACTACTCTGTACATATTTTTCTCCTAGTCTTTTTTTTTTTTGAGTTGGAGTCTCACTCTGTCACCC